AGAGCCAGGAGGAACCCCTCGTGTCCCCCCCCCCCAAAAAATATTGCCAGGAGTGGTTCTGGGCCCCCTGAGTACTGACTGGGAGCCCAGTCCCTCCCCCACCCCCAGATGCAGTCAGCGGGACCTGGGCCTGGCCTGGTTTCTGGTAGGTCCGCCTTGAGGCTGCCGGGCTTGGTGTCAGGGCTGAGAAGCAGCAGGGCCGGGGGGCTCTGCCCCCTGCATCCTCCCTTCACCCCTTCCCTCCCTGCCACAGCCCTGCCCCTCACCCCCTGCTTCCCCGCCTTGCGGGTGCCCAGGCCAGGTCGCTGCAGGGGCCTTTGGTCCCAGACAGGTTCCAGGGCGGCCGGAGGAGCCTTACTTGCTACCCAGAGCGCCCTCTGCTGGTGCCGGGGTGCAGGACTCCGTGGCCAAGCCTTCGGGGGCTTCAGGAGCCAGCTGGGCGCCCGGCTGGCCAGGAAAGTCACCAGCAACCCTGGTTCATTGCAGCGTTTCTGTCTCCTGGGTGGGACCGCGCGGGGATCCCAGCTGACGCGGGTCCTGCGGTGTGTGGGGTCCTCTGCCTCCTGATTCGGGGCAGAGCGGGGGTGGGGGGGGGGCTGGGAGCACCTGGAATCCTAAATGCTTGCCAGGGCCTGGGGCCATGTTCTGGCACTCACCCCACGTCCCAGGGAAGCACCGGGACAGGTAACCTCCCCGCTGGTAACTTTTGGCCCATGCAGAAGTGAAACACGGGGGGGACGGGGACAATTTTTATCTTGCGAGGGTCAAGTTGGGGTCAATTTGTAAAGTCTGGGTCAAAACAGGCGCCAATGAACCCCCAAAGCCATAGGCGGGTGGTTTGCGGATTTTCTGTAAAAAGAAACAGCCGGCGCATTTGACTAGTCTGAAGTTTATTTAAATGCACTTAAAGGAGGTGGGTTCCGACGTCCCCGCGCTTCGGTTCAGGGGTTGAGTGGGGACCAGAGGGTGTTTCTGTAGGGACCCCCACCCGCCGTATGACAGGCTCAGCCCCCCACAGCCCCACCCTGCATGGTCACCTTCTCTCAGGACCGGGACACCCGATACAGCCAACGGCAGCCTCGGGACACGGGGGTTCGCTCCCTCGCCTTGGACAAGAGTTTCTCTCCCTGTTCCGTCATGCCAGGTCACTCGCTTGAAATCGTGCGGGCTGAGTGGCCCAGGGACTGAGAACCTGCCCGGCTTCTCCCAGGGCCGGAACACCAGCTTTGCGGGGGGGGGAGCCTGGGTTTGAATCCCCATTCGCGTGCGGAGCCCCAAACACCACCCAGGGTCACCCCTGAACCACCTTGTGGGTAGGGGAAGCCCCGGAACATGGCCGGGCCCGGCCCCACCAACAGCAAAACCTCAGGCAGTGAACGGGACGGCAGGGTCCAGAGAAGTGGGCTCCCGGGAGCCTCCCCCGCCAGCTCCAGGCGGCGGCACACCCACGAGCACTCTAAGTGCCCGCCTGGATCTGGCAGCTATCCTGAGCTCGAGTCAGCTCAGTGCCCTGCTCTCTGCCCAGTGCCGGAGGGCGCAGAGATGAATGAGGAGAAGTCCGTGCCCACGGCATTCTCGCAGTCTGTCATCAAAATTGCAAACTTGATTTGGTGCCACTTCCTCCGGGCAGTCTCCCCTGGCTGCTCCCTTCCTCCCCTCCCCCCCAAACTGTTTGGACACTCCTGTCGTGATCAGTCATTAGTGAAAAAGACGATCGCTAATGTCTCCTGTCCCTGTACCATGAGCCAGTCTCCGGGGTTATTTTAATCCTAATAAGAAAAGACTCATTATTCTCTCCCGTCTACAGGGAGGAAACCAAAGTCTCACCGAGTGAAAATCACTGAGGGCAGCAAGAGCTGGGAGGTTTGTGGACACCCCCCGTCCCTCCACCCCACCCCTGCCGCCCACGTCAGTAGCAGATGTCAGGGTGGGGAGTCCGTGTCGCAAGTGGGGCTGGGACTTGGTCCGAGTTCAGACGGTGACATGGGAGCCACGTTTAGAGAGGAAATTTTCCCCCGTGGCCTTGGGAGGCTGCTAAGAGAGTCCGTGCCGTCGTCTGCGGGGTCCCCGGGTGCGATGACAGTCACCAGGACGGAATCCAAAAGTCAAATCAAACACTCCCCCTCACACCCCACCAGATGAAAAAATGGAATTAAATTAGGAGGACAATTCCCAGAGGCCAGCCACACGTGCTAGGAGAAAAGGCAGCCCAGACAGAGAAGGGAGCACCAAATAAAGGGTGTTGGGAGGACCCTCCCAGGGTGGGAGAAGCGTGCTGAAAGTAGATTATAGACCGAACATGATTGCCACTCAACGCCTCTTTTGCAAAACACAGTACCCAAAAGAAGAGAGAGAGAACAAGGGGGAATGCCCTGACTCAGAGGCAGGGTGATGGGGGGTTGGAGGGATGCTGGGACCCGTGGTGGTGGATGATGGGCACTGGTGGAGGGATGGGTACTTGATCATTGTATAACTGAAACCCAAGCACAAAAATTTGTAAGTCTACAACTGTACCTCATGGTGTTTCACTAATAAAAAAAATTTTAAAAAAAAAGAGGACAATTCCCGGGAGACTCTCGTTCATGCCTGTATTCTGCACGGCCAGCCCACAGCCTGGCCATGGTCGGGCCCAGCACCTCTGCGTGGACGGAGGCGTGAGCTCCTGGGAGGCTGAGGGGTTCTCTGTGGTTCTGCTGGCAGCAGTGCGGCAGGCTCAGGTAGATGCCTGAGGGGTGTCCCGCCAGCCTGTCCCTCTGCCGGTCCATCTAGCTTGGGGCAGGGAGCTGGTCCCGGCCACCCCAGGCTCTTGTTCCCGTGCTCGCTTATCTCGGGCGATTTTTTTTTCTCATCCCGAAGAAAATCTCACATAAGCTGTTTACGGCAGCCCGGAGCTTTTAAACCTCTTTCTGGTGTGGCTTTTTACAAGTCAAGATAAACAAGAGCCTTTGCTCTCTGGGGACCAGCCGGGAGGGGTGGGGGTGGGGGTGGCTCCTTCACTCCCTCCCCTGCAGCCCGTGGTCCCGGGGGAGCTGAACCTGAGTGCGGGCCCCAGAGGACCGGGTTCACCGGGTCACGTGGCGGAAGCAGATAACATCATTGCCGGTGGAGGACGCAGCAGCCCCGGGGACCTGGAGGCAGGGCGGGGCTGGGGACAGGCAGAGCCAGCTGGGGGTGGCATGGGGGAGTGGGGGGTCCCGTTGCTGCTGCCGAAGGCTCTGTGTGCGCATCCAGGCAACGTCAGACAGAGCAGCTCTTGCAACCCTTTGCTGGGCAACAAAGGAGTGAAAGTCCCCCAAAGGAGGAGGCCGCAGAGGCCGGGTCCTGGGGGCGCCTCCCCGCGCCCCTGCCCTCCTGCCCGTCCGAGTGAGTCTCACCCCGAGAGAAGTGCCACACAGCCCCAGGAAAGTTGGCTTCTCACTGGGTGAGGCCGCCACAGGCGGACCAGCAGGGCCGTCTTCCCAGCCACAACACCGGGGGTCAGTTTGGGGGTCACTTCCAGCCCACAGCTGGCTCTGCCCTAGTCTCTGGACCTCAGTAGAGAATCCTGTGAAATAATCCTCCTCCTCCTCCTCCTCCTCCTCCTCCTCCTCCTCCTCCTCCTCCGCCGCCGCCGCCACCACCACCTCCTCCTCCTCCTCCCCGCCGTGGACTAGAAAAGGAGTGAAGGTTCCAGGGGAAAACCATGGAACGTCACCATCCCTCCGTGCCAGGCAGAGAGGCGAGGTGGAGAGCAAAGCTAGCCTGGGGCATGGCTGAGCAGCTGGATCAAACCTCACCTGATGCCACGACTCCACCACAGTGCAGTGACAGGACCCGGCAGGATGTTTCATTCCTTCCCGCCCCATCCTCCCAAGACAGAGACACAGGACGAGCTTCTCCATCACACCTCATCAGATGGACGGAGCCCAGCTGCGGCCTCCCTCTGGGGCCTGGCCAGCCCACCCAGCATTGCATGCAACATCCTGAAGGCCGCAGTTTCAAAACCAGCAGCTGCTGGCTCTTCCATTCTGGGTCTGAGGGAAACGGGGTAACTCCCCCCCCCCCTGGGTCCAGAAAGCGCTTTCTTTGAGGGGTGGTGATGGGGGTGGTCACTGCCATCCACCATCACCATCTCCAGCCACTTTGTGGGCACTCTGAGTTGCTGCTGACCCCCATGCATTCTGATGACCCATATCTAGGCCCCTGGGCCCCACTGCCCAGGAGGCCAGACCTCGTTCTGCCCTTGGGCGGCAGCCAAGAGTCTGTCCAGTGTGAGACCCACCAGGGGTGGATGTGACGCTCCCCTCCCTGCCCGCTTCGATGTCGGGCCTACTCCAGGCTTCTGTGCTCTTCCCTTTAAAGGCACAGCGGGTCAGCCCAGCAACCTGGACAAGATCGGGCTCCTCCTGTCGGCTCCGTCCTGGGGATGTCCGCTCCTTCCGGCCGCTGGCTCCTGGCGTGTCCCCGGGGACCACGCAAAACCTTGGGCAGGAGGACCCGGGTGGAAAAAGCTGCAAAGACTGAGTCAGAGAAGGCCGGGATGAAACTCGGGTCCATGGGGACCCTCCGACTCGGTGCTCACAGACAGGGCAGGAAGCTCAGGGCCGGGGAGGAAGGCCCGGCTGGCCCTGGGTCGGTCGGGGGAGGTGCGGCAGGATGGGGGCACCCCCTTCCCGAGAGCAAATGCCGCTCCTGCAGACACGGAACCGGGGGTTAGCGGGGACAGCTGGTTGGGGGAGACTCCTGGGTCTGAGCCTGGGGCTTGCAGCCTGGGAAAGGCTGAGAAATTCCACCGGGGTCCCCCTTCCTGCGCTCCAGCCCTTGCTGGCCCCGCTGGGTTTGGCGTCTGGGTTTGCGCATCCTTGGGGACCTCAAAAGTGACTCAGTGCTGTCAGCCCGCACGGAGGGCAGGGAGGAGGATGCGGGTGATTCAGAGCCTCCTCCCAGCCCCTTTGGAGCGGAGGGGGCTCTGGGGGTGGGGGTGCCGGTCCTTGGAGACCCTTGCAGGCCGGCTGCGGGGGATGCCTCGCTCACCTGGGCCGCACACGCGGGTGGGCGGGGGCTCCACCTGCAAGACAGCGTCCCGAGACCCCGCGGCCACCACCGCCCCCTGCATCCTCCCGGGCTCCCCTCGCTCGCCCTCACCGTCCCCCAACACGCGCGCGCCCACCCAAGACCCCCGTCCCCTCCGCATCTTCCCCATCGTCCCCCAACACACGCGCGCCCACCCAAGACCCCCACCACCACCCCCTGCATCTTCCTGGGATTGCCCCACCCCCCAACACCCGCGCCCCAACCCAAGACCCCCGCACCCGCGCCTCTTCCCCACCGTCCCCCAACACGCGCGCGCCCACCCAAGACCCCCACCACCACCCCCTGCATCTTCCTGGGATTCCCCCCACCCCCAACACCCGCGCCCCAACCCAAGACCCCCGCACCCCCGCCTCTTCCCCACCGTCCCCCAACACGCGCGCGCCCACCCAAGTCCCCACTCCAGCCGCGCGCACCCCACCGCGCCACCCCCGCCAGGGTCTCCCCGGGTGGGCGCCGGTCCCCGCCGCCGCCGCCGCCGCCGCGCCGCCCCCGCCCTCCCTCGGCCGGCCCCGCCCTCGCTCCGCCCCCGGCCCGGCCCGGCCGGGTCGGCGCCGCCCCCGCCCCCCGGCGGCCCCCGCGCCCCCCGGGGCGGGCGCGCGGGCCGCCCCGCGGCGCCGCCTTCGCCGCCTTCGCCTTCGCCGCCGCCTTCGCCGCCCCCCGCCCCGCGCCCGGCCGCGCGCGCCCCTCCCCGCGGCTGGGCGGCCCCGCGCGCCGCCCGCCCCGCCGCGCCTCCCGGTGACGCGCCGGCCCGGCTAAAAGTCGCGGCGCGGGCGGAGCGCGGCGCGGGCGCCCCTCGCCGGACCCGCGCCCGAGATGCCGGCGGCCGGGCCGTGCGCCCGCAGGCTGGCGCGCCGCTCGCACTCGGCGCTGCTGGCCGCGCTCTCGGTGCTGCTGCTGCAGACGCTGCTCGTGTGGAATTTCAGCAGCCTGGACGCGGGCGGCGCCCCGCGCCCGCCGCCGCCGCCGCCGCCCCCCGGCCCCGCGCCGCGCGCGCCGGGACCTGCCGCCCCCCGGGGACGCGGGGCGCGCGGCGCTGCCCGTCCGGCCGCGGGTAAGGCGGGGCGGGCCGGGGCGGGCCGGGGGGGGGGCAGGCGGGGCGGGGGTCCGCGGCCCGGCCCGGCCGCGGCCGGGGGCTGCGGAAGTTGGGTCCCGCGGGGCGCGCGGGGGTCCCGGCGCCCGGGCGGGTGGGTGCCCGAGGGCGCTCGCGGCGCGTCCGTCCGTCCGCCCGCCTGTCTGTCTGGCCCGGGAGGCCGAGGGCCGGGAGGCTCCGGGGTCCGGCGCCCCCGGCCGGCCGCGTGGCCCGCGCAGCGGGGACCGTCTCGCGCCCACTCCGGGGGTCTCGCGGCGGCTCCCGCCCGCCCGTGCGGGGGCGGCCGGACTGGCGCTGCTCCCCTCCTCCCCCTCCCCCTCCTCCCCCTCCTCCCCCGGCGCCCCCAGCGCCAGCCTCGCCCTCTCGCGCGCGCGCCCCGCGTGTCCTCTCCAGCCCGCTGCTGGCCAGCCCGCGGCCAGGGCCCTGCCGCCGCCGCCGCCGCGCCTGCCTCGCCCGTGCCCGTCCCACTGTCCGGCTGCTCCAGCCCCGGGCTGCGGGCCCCGGCCCACCCTCGCGACTTTGGGCTCCTGCAGTTTGTCCGTGTGCCCTGGGTTGGGGGTCGCTGCCGCCTCCTCCTCCGCCGCCGCCGCCGCCCTCGGTCCTGTCCCCCAGCGACTCCCCCGGCTCTGCAGAACAGGTGGTCCGAGCGCCCAGCTCCAGGCCGCGGGGTCAGCGCCGGGGGTGGCACTGGGCCCCCTCCTGTGTCCTGCTGCCCCCTCCTGCCCCGGGGATGCTCCAAGCAAAAGCGGCGTTGGGGGGGGGACCCCGGACACCAAGGGCCAGGTTCAGTGGATACTGGGGTCCAGGGCGCTCTCCCAGTGCCCTGCGTTGGCGTCTGCTAACTTCTGGGAGTCGGACAGGGTGGCCCCCTCCAGTGCCAGGATCGTGGCATCCATTCCCAGCTGGTGGTGGGCCCAGCCAGCCCTTCCCACTCCAGCCCATTTCATGACTCTGCCCCTCGCCCGCTGCTCTGGGTGGTCATGGGGAGCGACTGTGCCCTGTGGGGCCAGGAGAGAATCAGAACATCCCCACCCAGCTGTGCCTGTGTCCGAGGGACCGTCCGCCCTGGCCGGGCAGCGCGGGCGTGGAGAGAGGGCTGTCTGAGTGGACGGGCACCGTGAGGTTCCCTCTGGTTCCACACCCGACCGGGAGGGGGCTGGGGTGGGTTGGACACGTCCGGGGCGTCCTGCACTGCCAGCCGTTTGGAAACTCGGGTGGATGAGGTGGAGGGTGACGGGTGGGGCTCACCGTGCCCTGGGCGTCTGCGGTTCTCGGGGGTGCTGGGGGAGGCGGGGGCCAGAGCCCACCTGTTGAAACGACGCAGGAAGGAGCCTGGCTGTCCCGTCCTCTCTGCCGCTTCCGATGCCCCAGAAACCGCCTTCCTCCCACCGTTCGCTGCCCCCTTCCCCTTCCCTCCCTCCTGGGGACAGACAGGGGTGGGGGGGTAGAGGCTGCAACCCCCCACGCCAGCTTCCTGCCCACCCCAACCCTGTTCCATTCCCTTCGGAACCCCATGGCCAGCACCTCGCTGGAATTTGCGGGCACCCTGTTCTCGGGTGCAAGGCAGGAACCCCGGCCTGCCTGGCCCCGTCTCCCGAGGTCCTGACGCTCCCGGGGAGAAGGATGCTGTTGCCTTTCCCCTTCACTCCTCTCCCCCCACCCTCCCCGCTTCTCCCCAAGCCCCCCCCCCCCGCCCGCCCTCCCCCCAGGCCCCTCGTCTGCCCCTGGGTCTGTCTCATTCGGCTTCACCAGCCGCGTGGGCTCCTTTCCCTCCCGACCCCAGGCCCTGACCTTGCTGGACGCGGAAATGACCCCGCCGACTTGCCTTGGGGGCTCGGGAGGGCCGCGGGGGGTGGGGGTCAGTCCTCTCCGGCTGTGCCCACCCAGCCCCTGCCCTTCCACCGAGCTCAAGGAGACCAGAAGGGGGCAGCCTGGTCCCGAAGTCAGAGCCAGCTCCTGGGCCGAGCAGACTCGGGGCTTGCTGGGGCCAGCGCAAGTTTCCCCGGCAGATCCCGCAGGGGAAAGGGGCAGCGTGGGGGAGCCGGAGGGGGGGCCTGGGGGGTGCTTAGGGAGGAGGACAGGGCAGGCGATGCTGTGCCGTTCCCCAGAACGTTCTGGAAACAGAGGCGAGACGTGGGACCTGCTCGCCAAGGCCCCGGTGACGCTCGGCAGGCAGGGCTCAGAAACACAGGGCCCGCTCGCTCCGTGCAGGGGAGGGTGGGGCTGGGCACGGCTCTGTGGTTCCTGCAGGGTGGCAGGGAGGGGGCGGTGGGCGTGCCCCTCTCCTCGTGGGCGGGCACTGTGTGGGGAGCGTTTTCGAAGCCAGACCTTGGGCTTCCTCTGCCCCGGGCATAGCCGGCCTGCGCCCCCCCCCCAAGTCCTTCTCTTTCTCCTTTTGCTGGGGGGGCTCCATCCCAGGAGAAGGGCCTGCTCGCCTCCGGGGGGCAGGGAGAGGAAGCCCGTGTCTCCGTGGTGGGGAGGGGCGCAGGCCAGTGTGCTGAGCCTCTACCGGCAAGCCCTTGGCCGCTCTGGACTGAACCCGGGGTGACAGGGTGTCAGTGACTGCCACTGATTCTTCCCTGGGGTGTCCCGGAAGCTGTGGGTGTAACGGCCGCTCAGAGCTGGAGAGAGACCACGGTTGGGTGGGGCCCGGGGGGTGGGAAACATCGCACAACGGGTTCTGTGTGGATTTTGGAGAAAATGAAAGGGCCATGTGTGTGTGTGTGGGGGGGGGTGTGATTGTGTGTGTGCTTGTGTGTGAGCGTGTGTATGCGTGTAGGTGAGTATGTGTGAGTGTGTGTATGAGTATGTGTGTGAAGGTGTGTCTAGGTGTGTATATATGAATGTGTGCTTGTGTGTGTATGTGTAGATGAGCATGTGTGTGCTTGTGTGAGTGTATGTGTGCGTGTGTATGAATAAGTGTGTATGAGTATGTGCGTGGATGTGTGTTTGAGTGTGTGTGTATGAATGTGAGTGTGTGAGTGTGAGCTCAGCCACATTTTCTTCTCGCTGCCGCCACATTCCAGAGACACTCAGATTTATTGTGCTTAATTCAACAGTCACGACCCCCCTCATCCGCTTCATTTGAGAAACCTAACTCTGTGCTTGCCTGTGTGTGTGTCCGCACACACACGCACAAACTCACACACCATGAGGAGACGGGAGTTTCAGCATTGTCTGAGCCCTTTGAAATGTTGATTTTTCAGCAGAAATTCCTCATACTTCGCATTACTCGGATAACTCCTGAACTTTTTCAGACGTTGGCAGTGTCTGGGAAACGGGGGCCCAGGCTCCACACGGCCCCTGTCCTCACCGCCCCTCGGGGGTGGGGCTTTTCTCTAGGCAAACGCTCGAAGCCAGCGAGGGCAGCGGCGGTGGTGTTGGTGGCCGGCGTTGCCCACCTTCTCCTCGCGGGGTTTTCCTCGTGGCTTGATCTACGTGTGGCATTGCGTACACAGAAACGTGCATCCGTGAACAGCATTTATCTCTTCGCCAATGTTGCCATCTGCTTAATCATCTCCTGGAAAATGTTAAATAAGATCGATAAGTAGGAATGATGATACACCTGGATACACACTGGTCGTAGCACGGCTGTGCTGGTGTCTCTCTGTCAAGGGTCCGAGGTTCCTTTCCCTCCTACCTCATCCTTATTTTTTCCAGATTCTTTTAAAATGGAATCACTTGTCTAGGGATTGGAGAGCGAGTCCAGCTGAGAAGGTCCGTGCCTTGCGCCTGGCTACCCCAGTTCGGTCCCCAGCACCCCAGCCCCTGGATTCCACTCGGAGTGATTCTGGATCCCAGAGCCAGCCCTCAGCACTGCGGGGTGGCCCCCAAATGAACACAGTCCGACAGGGCCCACACCCAGAGGTGCTGGGGAGGGGCCCACCCAGGGGCCACCCCCAGAAGTAAGTTACTTGACGATGCAGGCCTGTGGGTTTGGGGCTCAGCCCCACTCTGAGGTGCTTGGGAGGGGGGTCCCAAGTTTATACCTTGGGGATTGATCGGGGGCCCGATCAGTCTCAGGCGAGGTGCTAGTTGTGTGCTCTGCCCCTGGGGACCATATCCCCCCGCCGCTCTTTATTCTGAAGCTTCCAGAAGGTTGGGCGGCAGCAGAGACTTGCTATTTTGCAAACAGGACGTGGATTGTTGGGGATTGTGCAGTTCTGATCCATGATCTTGATCAGAAGGGAAAGTTGGTGTCGTGGCTGGCGCAGACGCCTGGCATCGTGTGTGTGTGTGTGTGTGTGTGTGTGTGTGTGTGTGTGTGTGTGTGTTTCCTAAAAACTTGGAATTCAGGATTAACTCGGCCTCTTTTTCCTTTGAATTCCCCGCCGCGCCCCCGTTCCTATGGACCCTGGCCCCCCTCTACTTATCGGAAAGTAAAGAGAAACTGCTCTGGGGAGAATGCGAAGGAGGACAGCGATTTTACCCCCCCCCCCCCCCCAAGCCCGAGTTCAGAGGGGGGAGGGGCGTGGGGACCAGGAGGAAAAGTCCCCGAGACTGTCTGGCCCCAGCTGGAAAGTGAGAGGGCGCCTTGGCCTCTGTCCACCTCGGCGCCTCTGCCTCCCTGGGGCGCCCGACCTGACCCCCTCTGAGGCACAGCGCCCCCGTCGGGTCGGGGGAGGAAGAAGCGGGTCCGTACGCGGAAGGACCGGCTTTATCCGGGTGCTCTCCAAGGCGAGTTGTTGTTCTCGTAAAGAAACCGCACGTTGTTTGAAAATAAGCAATTTTTCGCAATTATTCCTTTTCCCATGCCGAGGAGGGTTTGAGCGAGATCCAAGGCAGGCGAGCGCAGCCAGCGCCTCTGTGCGTGCCAGTCCTCGAGCAGGGCAGGCAGAGAGGCAGGAGGAGGGCAGCGTGGATTGAGCGCCAGCTGTATGCATGGCGCTCTCTGTACGCCTCCCGGATACTCCCTGTGATGAAACGACAGAGAAGGAGACGTGCTCTGGATTCTCAGAACG